CACGTGTCGGCGGTTTATAAAACAGTTTCTGAGCCTTCGAGAACTGTCTCGCTCTGCGAGACAGTAAAGACTGTCTCGCACGGCGAGACAGTAAAGTCTGTCTCGCGTGCGAGACAGTAAAGACTATCTCGCGTGCAAGACAGTCTATACTTGTGTTCTTTTTTTGACATTTTGGATGACTTCCTTTTGAGCTGTGTTTGGATACCTCTCAGCATTTTTTTGACGCCTACAGTGGGCGTTTATAAATTCTCTAAATTCGTCTCGTCGTGAAAGCCACGCTCTGCCAAATGGTTGGTGTTCACAAGCCCGATAATTTTGGTTGGGTTTGGAACCCGACTACTTTCGCCCTAACACGGTTTTGCTAATCCCGCTCATAATTAGAAGAGCTTCTAATTAGTCGAGGTTGCCAACCCCGACTACAATCATGCCTAATTAGAAGTTTCCTTTTTTTAAACGACCCAGTTTCTGGCCACGATGCTGACATGATTAAAAACGGGGTCTATTTCACTAAATAACCTTGAATTGGATGGTTTTTTTGGAATTAAATTTGGCAACGAGGCTTTTTTTGAAAAAACACGTACGCTAGGCGCGAGATATAGGCGTGAGAAAATACGCGGATATAAACGCGTGAGATATACGCGATACAATGAACGCGGTGCTTTGCCGAGTCGCGTAAATGTAACACGCCCACGGAAAAAATATTATTTTCCGCTTATGAACACCTGTAAAAAATAGCCCATGAACTATTTTGGGCCTGCCAATTTGGGCGTCGCTTATAACTGCTCCATGCCTGCAGCCTGATTGCTCTCCGAGGTGGAGTTCGAAGGAGCCGCGAGCAATAATAGATCGAAGACGAAGGCGAAAACGACAAAGAGAAAAAAATTCAAAAGAACCCAGCGACATCGGCGAATTCGACGAAGAAGAAAGACCTCTCAAGAACCGATCTCTCAAGAAGAGAGCCCTGAGTTTCAGCTTCAGCGAAGAAATATCTCAAGTAAGCCTGATCATCCTATTTTTTAGTTTTATTTTGCTGCTTAAATTAGTCTAAGAAAAGTCTTATTAGGGTTTGATGTGGGCCGGTTTTTTGTTGTTGTTGTAGACTTTATTCACTGTGTATAAAAATTGCAACTTTTTTCGTTTCCTCATTCTTTTATTCCATCAAGACTCATCTTCTAGCGATTATTTCTTCCATCAAGATCTTAGATGATTAGGTCTTGAGGTTTGCATTCAGTAATTGTCACTTTCATTCCATGTCGCTGGATAGTCAATTGTGGTAACAGAGTGCCATCATAAGTTGTGTTAGATAATGAGGAGATCTCATGATAACTTGATTTTATTTGTCAAAAACCTAATTATGCATACATATATTAGTGTCCTGCCATTGGATATTGAGGCGGGATAACATAGTGCTATAATCAAATTAGAAATGTGATGATATTTCATAGCATGAATTTACTACTGATTTGTCTATAAACCATAATAGCAGCAGCTTCAACAGGGCAGGCAGTCGCGTGTGATTTTCAGGCACTTTTTGGCCTGGAGGTTAAACACACCGGCATATGCTGGTTGTTATATCCCATCTAAACGTTTTCTGTTGATTTTAACGCACAAATTGTTATGATTTTCTCCATTTGGCAACCTACAACATATAAGGTTGAAAACTAACTTGCTTTGGCTGTTGCTGTAACTGGTGCATTTATCAGTTGAAATTTTATTATACTCTGCATAGAAGAGTTTTAAACTTTGTAGCATTAAGTTGGCAGGTTCTTGTGTTCTATTAGCGTGCATCAAGTTGGCAGTGTTCTATTAGCGCGCATCAAAGAAGACCACATTATTTCAAACCTGAGGGTCAATAAGGGGTTTCAACTGGAAGGATGCCCTGGTTAGCCTGCAGAGACATGAACCTGCGATACGTGGACTACTTAAGTATTACTTAGCGAGTAGATTTCGTAAAACATTCATGACCTGGCTTCTTGTGGTGTAGGTAGCTGGGCAGCGGACACATACACTAGCCGGTACATTTATTTGTCTTCAAATGAAGTGTTCCTGGCACTCCCCTACGTGCTATGTATTTGCTAAATCTTGAAAATGCTCCTATCCATGTTAGAGTAAGTTATTGTTTCTGCTATCAGAATAATTGCCTAACATATTTTCTGCGTTAGTTTTGTCATTAATAGTAGAAGATGATTCTCTTACTACGTTTTCTTATAGTAGTTGACATAACTGGTAGATGATTCTATTGATGAAATTTTCTGGTGGTTCTTACTAATTGTGGCAATGTCGTCAATAAAGAGATGATATATGTTACGGTTTATGTTTTTGAATTATCTAGCAGCATACCTATCAATGCTGGTTATGTGATAGCATGGAGTCGATAATATTCATGATATACTAGTATAGTTCTAAATAATGTCAATGATGTAAAAGATGCCAGTGGTATAATATCTTCTTATATTAGATGTCATTGCAAACTGTAATGCTGTCATGTTAAAGTTAATCAGGTTTCAGTGTCATCACAGCACCAGTGGTCTAGTGGTAGAATAGTACCCTGCCACGGTACAGACCCGGGTTCGATTCCCGGCTGGTGCAAATCTTATTTATTTGAATATTTTTGAAATTGCAATTCTCCACGTAAATAATTTCTAAAATCGCTTTACCTTGTCCTGCATGCAAATCCTGTTGTGCTAAGTCTTTTATTGTTTTACTTTTACCTTATCACATTGTCATGCGTCATTGGGTATAAGTAGTTGGGTTGTGCGCAACTTAACGCTTACCTGGGTCCAAATAGAAATTGTTTCTTTATCTGGTATCCAGATGGTTTTGATGGCTGTAACTTGTGTCTGGACAGCAACCAACACAGCTCTTTCTGGTTTATCTATGCTTTTCCTAATAATCAAGATAAAGTTAGCATGTCGACATGCTGCTGTTCTTTCAAGCTTCTTCTCTTATGGTTAATTGGGTCATCTTACAGGTTTATCCCAGCCAGTTCTATTTCTGCCGTGTCCCAATAGGATGAGTTGAAGATTGGTGCTTGGTTATAAATCTATTCTGACCCTTACGTCTAGAATTAAGCCAGCTACTGAGTAGATTATACTGTAATATTTATTCTTTCCTGTTTAATCATCAGATGAGGTAAATAGTGGGTATGCGTTTAACAATTTTTAGGCCTTTTCTAATCAGCAACAATTTTCTATTGATTAATTCTTTTTGTTTGTTCTCAATTGGATTCCCGTGAAGACAGGATACTGAAATAGAGACTACCAGACGGAGGGATGTAAAGAGGTCTGTTTGTGCATGCAGATCTTTCTTACCATTTAAGATATTCTCAGTTGCAGACCCATTTATCCAACTAACCCGCAACACCCAAAATGGCTTGTTTATATTAAGTTCAATAGAGAAAATAGACTAGCCATATGTTACCATTTTGACGAACTGATTAGAGCCTTTGACCGTACTGAGTTTTTATCTTCCTAATTCAGGTTTGCATAGTTAAGCATGATTGATATTCAAATCAAATGTCAAGCATTGCACTGTCCTTAATAAATATGTGATATATGTTAAAGTTGGCTTTTTGATCATTTAACAGCGTACTGTTATTGTTGGTCATATAATACCATGAAGTTAATAATGTCAAAGATGTGAGCTGTATAATTTCTTTATATAGGGTATTATCACAAACTGCAATGTTATTATTGTTAAAAAAATCAAATTTCTCCGTGATTGTAGCATCTCAGTCTAGTGGTAGAATTGTATCCTGCATGGTACACAATGGGGTTGATTCTCGGCTGGTACAAATCCTTTGGCTTTTATTATTATTATTATTTTGTGAAAATTGTAATGCACCAGTTAATATTTCCTATAATTGCTTATTCTGCTTATGATTCCCTTCTCGTCAATTTTTTTGCTTTTAACTTTAGTTGTAATGTGGCATCATACATTTAATTACTTCACCTTATTCTGTGCTAAGTTCTCTGGAAAATTTGTAGCTTCCCTGCTTTTAATTACATTGCACTGCACCTCTACATTTTTTTGCTCAGTCCTCTTATTGCCCATATCTGATTATATGAACAGCCCCCTTGATGAGCCCTTGGGTATTAACGCCTTGAGGAAGGTCTCTTCCTCCATTGTCCATGTGATGACACTGGGAGACTGTCCAACTCTCTTCTCAAAGCTTTTCTTTGACATGGCAGATGGTTTATGTGTTTAGATCAACATGAACGGTTTAGATGGGATTCAAAAACTGTTACTGATCCCTTAAGATCCAAAAAGGGCATTAAGATGACCAGTGAATCCTGGTCCTCTTGGCAGCGCTGCTGCATCTAGCAGTTATGAAAACTATTACGTTCTATGTAGAAGTGTCTCATAGCAAATTATTGTTTTTATGTAGAAGTGTCTCTTAATGGTTGTAGTATTGATTAACTTTACCTAAGTTAGAGAGAATGTACTAAGTTCAGTTATCATTTCTTGTGTTTTATTAGTTTGTACTGAAGAAGACCACAGAGCCTGTCAATCAAGGTGATCCGCGCCACAGACCTTATTGTCAACTGGACATACCAAAGCTTTTTTCAACCCTGAGATTCCACAAGGAAACACATGGTCTTCCCTGCTCATCTTGTTATTGTTGATGTATTGACCACTGCAGACACTTGAACCTGATCCAAAATGAAGGGTGCATTGGTGAGCATTCAGACCCTCGGACGTGCACCCATAGATCTAAATGATAAAAAGGTCAGCAAACATGCGGACGACTTAGTAATGCTGTGGATATTTCAGAAGCCTTTATCTATCTAGTAGTGAGTTTTTTTTCTCCTGGTGTTAAAAATGATTGCTTAATCCTAGTAGAATTTATCATACTGCATGTCTACAAATCCTTGGGTTTTTTTGCTAGTCATCCCTGAAATTTCATCATGGCTAATTTTTACCTGTAAACTTCTTGTTGGGTCATTCCACTCTATTTTCATTGCAGCATCACATCTTTCACTGCCTTACCTTGCTCTGCATTATATTCTCAAAAAAAATTTGTTTAAGCGTCTTTTCTTTCATAAGTACAGTGCACTGCAGTCTTTATCTTTTTCCCAATTGCTTTATCATATACTGCAAAATTCGTGAGACTAAAGTAGACACGGTATTATGTCACCTTTTTCCCTAGATCGTTCTCCTCCTTGTACCATTTCTGGTTACATGAATAGCGTCCTTGACAAGCCCTACGGTGTTTGTGCCTGGAGACAGACCTCTTTCATCCATAAGTGCCAATGTGTTGAACATTGGAGGAGACTGTCTGAATCTTTTCTCAGAGCTTTTCTGTGACATGAAAGATGACTTCTCCAGCTACTCGCGCCCTCCAGTCTCTCCTGACACAGCACTTGTCAACCACCACGCTCTTTTCTTCTTTTTCCAGAAAAAAGATATTTTCAGTCTTTTTTTCTGTCTTCTTTGCATTGGATTTACTCTGCCACTGTAACAGAAGCAGCACGAATAGAACCAGCAGTCGCATATCATCTCCAGGCGCTTCTGAGTCTTAAAGTTTGTAGTATCAAGTTGGCCTAAGTTATGTCACGTTTACTTAACAGGTTCTTGTGTTTTATTAGCTTGCATCAAAGAAGATCACATTATGATTGGCATATTGATCATGATGGTCAATTCCATCAAAGCTTTATGGCAATTCAACATAAAAAAACCTTCATTCAAACTTGAGGATCCATCAGGAAACACATGATTTTGCTGATTGCATAGTTGTTTTTGACGTGGTAATTACAGTCTACATTGAACAACACATGGATCAGAAAATAAAAGGTTAGCAACATCAAACTACTCAGTATAGCCGAATAAATAATTTTTATATTGCATTCACGATCCGGCTTACTTGTGGCATTGGTAATCTGGTTCCTTTTCTCTATAGATATACACCTGCCAGGGCATTTCTGTGCCTTTGATGGCAAGTGCCCATGCAATCCCCAAGTGTACCTGCAAGATGGTTGTGTGGTTTATAGGACTCTGAAATAGTGTAGAGTAATATTTTGTAAGTGTTAAAACTTGGTTAAATGCGAATATCTAATTTGCAAGAGCGGAGGTCCCCAAGATTTATCCTCTTGTGAAAAGGATAGCTATAGTTCTTCAGATCCTTAAGGGTGAGTGACTTCCTCGACTATATCCTTGAAAAGATACTTTGTATTGAGAATACGTTAATGGAGTTGCGTTAGCACGTCTATGATAAAAATTGGACCAGATATATTATGATGGAGTCAATATATGTATAAAGATGTGCATGTCCTTCTCGAGTATTAACCCTGCCACCTATTTGACAGATCACATTATAATATGTATGTGCATTAACTTTGCCACATATTGGACAGATTACATTATGATATGAGACAGATCACATTATAATATGTATGTGCATTAACTTTGCCACATATTGGACAGATTACATTATGATATGAACATGCATGTTTGCTTCCACACATTGCTACCATTGTGAATACCAATATATTCCTGGATAGATTAGTCATCTGCAAGTAATTGTGCTAATGCCTATACAGTTGGTAAGAAACTGTGTATTAAGGACTATGAATATTACTCAGATCCAAAAGTTCAGTTCGGATACTATTTATTTATATTAAGGACTACGAATTAAATCTGGAATTTAAGTTTTAAATTCAAGTTTAGAGTGCTATGCTTGAACCTGTGCTTGAACTACTATTGGCACTGATTTTGTTAGCCACTGGCAATAGTTTATACCTTTTGTACTCAATTGGAGTCGCAAAATTATTTCTTGGTTGGAAACTGACACATTTTTGCATTACTTGTCATCAAGTTTTGGTTCTTAGGTGGAAAAGGTGGTTCAATGTTGATCTCGTTGTACATTAACTTGAAGTTTCTGAAGCTTTTGGTTTATTTATTAATTCTGTTGTCATCATAGGTCGACCATATCTGTTACTTCATGTTACAGGTCTTGGATCATAAATTCATGTAATCATGTGGATTGCTAATATATGAATCTTTTGCAATGTGGAAATTAGCATGTGATCCTAAGATAATAAAGTCTATGAAAGAATCTAGACACTTTTGGTTCAACAAATTTGGCATGTTAATAATTGGCAATCTGAGCTGCCACATCACCAATATCCATACAAACATACTCATAGTTTGCAGCATGTTAATAATTGGCAATCTGAGCTGCCACATCACCAATATCCATACAAACATACTCATAGTTTGCATCTTTAATTGAACTTACATCAGGGTTCCATAGAAAGAAACTACAAATTTTGTTTCAAGAACAAATTAATCTCCCAGAATAGCTATCCTTAAGTAGCAAACATCCAAACTAAGCCAAAATATGAAGAACCCATAACTGTCTCATTTCATCTGAGCTCAAGAATGCCGGTAGCAATGATAATAGCAGCTAGTGACGATAAAGGAGCCAGGTTCTTTGTGTACAATCTGCAGTTGAAATCTGGGATTGGGTTTTGTACAGGTTGAGTCAAATATGGTCGAGTGTTAGGGGGGTGAGACTGATCGCCTCATGTTTCTGGGATCTCGTTCAGGTCTGGGATCTCATTCCGGTCCAGCCTCAGGCGGGCTCTCTTCGATGATTCTTCGTTTTCCTCTTCAGCTTCAGGTTCACGATCGCGTTCAGGTCCAGGTCCAGGGATTGTTGCTTGTGCAATAGCTGTAGCTATCCTATTGCCACCACGACTACTGCGATATATCTTATTCAGAACCCCACCGTTCTGCTGCACTCAGCATGCACAAAAGGTACAGAGGTAGATACAAAATCAATCAAGAAACTCAACAATGGGCATGCATCCTGAATGTAACTAATTCAAGAATCAAGAAGAAGAAAACAGTAGATACAAAATCAATTAAGAAACTCAACAATGGGCATGCATCCTGAATGTTAACTAATTCAAGAATCAAGAAGAAGAAAACATTATATGTTAATTAAAACTGGAAAGGAAAAAAAAACTAAACTAAAACTGTGAAATGAGATGCTCACAATCATGGCACGAAACAATAAGAAACATAAACCTTGTTCATTAAGAAAATAATTAACAAAACCAATCGAAAATAAAGATGGTAAACAAGAAAAGTATAACTGATAGCTAGAAGAGAGGAGATGATTAAGAAGGAAAGATTCTATGTTGCATCATGTAAAAGAGAAAACATGAAGAAAGCAGAAACACGACGTAGCAAGAAACTCAAATCCAAACTAAGAGGCCAAGAAGCTCACCCGCTTGTCTCCATCCTTCGCATGCTGCTTCGACTCCTCAATCGTGTACTCGTGCATCAACCACTCCGTCTTCTTCCCTGGATCATCCTTCCTAGGCGTACTCTTTTCTGTCTTCTCCCAGAACTCTAAAAAATTCTTGGTCCCAATTGTAATCTTCTGATGCCCTTTGTTCTTCTTGATCGGTTTGTTGCTATATATCCTCCAGTACCCTCCAGGCGTTGATCGGCTTTGCCATTTCCCTTTCCCAGTATCCTCCAGGCGTTGATCGGCTTTGCCATTTCCCTTTCCCAGTATCCCTCGATGTGAAAAAATACCAAAATTTCTCTTGCTCTCTACCTGCATATTCCTCTGAAGAAAAACAATACCGACATCAAAATCTTGATCAATATAAAAAACTTTGGTTTTTTTCAAGAAACCATCTTCATTATAATACAGTTTTGTTATTATAGGAATCTAGACAGTTTGCATTGGGTGCTCCAATAAAAATAAAGTCTAAACCAGAAACCTCAAGAAATAGCACTCAGATAATGCTGAACAAGACATAAGCTACAATGCCACATAGTGACTCATAACCTAACATTACGCATACATATGTATGTCTACCTAAAAACGATCAGAAACAGATACGGAAACGTTTGATCAAGATACCTGCAAGCTGTGCCGGGCTATAATCATACACATTGACGTCGACGATGATGTCTTTGCAAGGGATATCATTGCCAAGGGCCTTAGGCCTCAGGTAGGTAGTAATGATCACCTCCTCTGAAGGAAGAAATCTGAAACCATCAGGCAATGTTTTTGGATCTTTCTCTTCTTGGCCTTCGCAGATTTCATGAGTTGAAGATCCATTTTCTTGCTTGGCCATGTTGTTAGCTGCAGGAAAAATTGTGCTCTGGTCCTTGAAATGGCTGAGACTTCTTTTGGAGTTTGATCTCTCCGCTTCTCCTCCTTAATATCAGAAATCAGAACCTGAGAAAATATGGGGTTTGATCTTGAATGAATTCAAAAATTGTTGTCAGCTTTTCTCAACTTTTGGCTATATATAAGGATCCATATAGATGGACTGAACAAGACAGGTGTACCTCAAACAATATCTTGAATATGAAAAAGTTTCAACGGTACTGTTCCATTCAATTAATTCTACGTGCATGTTACTTGGATATTGGCAATTTTAACTAATGAAGTCGTCTGGTTTAATTATTAATCAAATTAATTAATTATTTAATTGTTACATCTTTTCCTCGCGCTATCTTATCATGTCTTTTTGATGTTTTTCCCCAATGTAACTTGTTAATATAGCTTGTTAAATCATGTGGTAATTTTCTACAATGCAGCAGCCACCTCATCTTGTTTCATTCTTAGAATTCAATGACATGTAAGCTGTCTCCAGTTATTAGAGATTGTAACTATACTATTATGCATCATGAACTTGTATACCTAGTTCAGAACTATATGCCTGTACATCTTGAGTAAATTTATTCCTGGGTTTTCAGAAAAATATTATGAACTTATTCGGGTTCTCCAAAATTGGCGTACCACTTACAGGCATGCTAAATGCAAAGTCTCTTTAGGTGCATGTGCGCGGGGTACCAATCCTTGGACATTAACTTAAAAAGAAAAAGTGAAGAATCATAGGGACATGTAGATGCCCAAAATAACCAATTTTTCAACAATGCTCATCCATCACAAGCAAATAAAAACCTGAAAACCACTGAACAAAGAGCCAAATAAAATGTAAATTGCAACTTAATGAAACGATCTAACAAGTTTGAAGATAGTTCCACCCAAAAATTTATACCTAATACATACTCTCCCAAATAAAATAAAAAAACCCACCTGTTCTTTTTCCCTATTTTCTATAAATAAATATATTACGATAAACACTAACAAATCATCGGCAGCCCATCTCCTTCAAAGCAAATACCCCTAAAACTTGTTCTGGTCCAAATTGCCTTGAGAGTTTCCCATCCTGCCCCTCCCCGTCCTAATCCAACTGGAATGGCGCGCATTAGCAAACTGCAGCGTGTTGAAGTACTGTTGCGAGCGAGCAAAGTTGCCTGCATTAAAATTATGATTCTCCGATAAGCCTGCAGGATGTATACTTGTAATTGCAGAGTTATGAGCAGGCATTTCGCCATAATTAATCCGCTGCTGCTCCTGCTGCTGAAAGTTCTGATTGCGACCACCAATGTTGATGCTGAAGTTGCCTATTTCATAGCATTGCTGGGGTAATGCATAGTTTGGTGCATGATTGGTCGGTTCGAATTGATCGAAAAATTCAGGAATGCTGGGGAGCGTAGGCAAGAAATCTTCATCTGCAGAAGGAAATGGATGACCAAACTGATAAGAGATTTGGTTTTGGTTCGTCTCCTTGATTCGCCATGGTGCTGGCTGAAGGAAAAATGTTCTCGGGTCCTTCAAAGGGTCGAGAATTCTGTCTTCTCCGCGTCTCTTCTTAAACAGGAGGACTTAAATACTGCGGGGGGTTTGACGTCGAAGAGTTAGAGAAGAGTTGGGCTTTATCTCAATTTTTTAATTTATAGTTATTTGAAAATTATGAGGTTATCTGGACTGCTGTGATATATATATATATATATAATTATATATATATATATATAATATATATATATATATATATATATATTATTATAAATATATAAATATATATATATGAGGAATATGGGTATGCTGGTACCAAGCACAAAATTTGTGCTTGGTCAGTGGAGGTGGCATATTATCCTCCACTCATTCAAATGGGGGACCACATTCACCATGGGTTGAATGTGGTCCCCCAATTGAATGAGTGGATGAAAATGAGACACCTCACTACCAAGGCCTAAAATTTGTGCTTGATACCAAGCATACCCATTTCTCTCTCTCTCTCTCTATAATATATAATATATATATATATCTATATATATGCGGTTAGCTTTACCCCTCCAATTCAGACTGGGAAAGAAAACTATAATTTTGAAAAGAATTGTGGTTTATCTGAACTTTTAACCCATATGGATTTATTCCTAATCCAACTGAGCTATAGTACTTAATTGAGGGTAAAACATGGCAGCCAAGTTTTAAAAATCTGAAACCTTATCACGTCGGGATTAGAACTTCATCTACACAATTTTGGGGGTGGCCACCTGATAATAAGAAACCTATTTTCAAGTTTTCAAAAATTGGCCCTTCCCTAAAATGTTGTAGGAAAGGAAATTCGAATAACTTCAATTTGTTGAGTTTTCCAACTGCATTCTTTCCATCATTAATTTTCAGTTATAATTCCCATCGTGGTGTTGCAGGTTCCCATATTTTCTGACAGACCCTTTTGTCCTTCTGTAGTGAGGACAATTTCTTTCCGGAACTCCCAGATTTTGATTTCCCCTTAGATTTTGATCAATATGAACCCGCCAACTATCAACCAAACTCTCCTTTACCTCAAGGCTACAACGGAGAATGCTCAATTCAGCCTGGCATGGCTAACGTCAACGTGGGCATTCACGGTCAGGACTTTCAGCAGCTGCAAAATAACTACGGCGTTGCCAACATCAATATCGGTGTTCACAGTCAGAACTCCCAGCTGTTGTGCGCCGCGGAAGCCCCAAATAGCCAAATCAAAAGCACACACAAGAACAATAGTAGACCACAAGTGAACACAAGCCAACCAATCACAGCAAGAACACAAGATATACGTGGTTCGACAATGTGCCTACGTCCACGGGGCAAGGAGGGGGAAGCTTTACTAATGAAATCAAAGGGAATACAAATTAGGGTTACAAATCTTATCCAAAACCCTCAAACAAGACCAATTGATCTCTCCAATAGACTCCAACAATAGAAGCCCTCAAAATCCCCTTTCAGCAGCTCAAAATCGCCAAAGCTTAACCCTAAAAACGAGTTTAGGGTTTAAATACAATTCTCAAACGAAACGGGTCTGGAAACGGAACCCAACTCAAAACCGCTTCGGCGGTCGACCGGTACGGTCGACCACGATCCATCGCGGTCGACCGGCCCGCTTGTCTTTTCACTCCATATATATCCAGGGACCCGATGTTTATGCTTATTGGTATACACCAATCCTCCTGCGAATAGTCATCAATAAAAGTGACAAAAAAAATTTGCCCGGCAAGCGAATGTGTGCTTGGAAGAACCCAAATATCTGTGCTGGAATGAGTCTAATATAACCTTGGTGTTGTGAATTACGGTAGCCAACTTTCACTTAGTCTTCTTTCTAAGGAATGCAATGCTCACACAGCCTCCATCTTGCACTCTTTGCACTCTTCAATAGCCCACTGTTTGCCAATGACCTGTAGGCGACTTTTCACCTGTGTGTCCAAGCCTCAGGTGTCATAGTGTGGTAGTTCCCTCCTCTGTCGGTGGATAGAAGCAGCCAGACCCCGTAACTGTCTGGCCTTCATAGTATATGTTGTTTCCCTGACACCTCGGCACGATACCAGCCATGATCCTCATGACCTTCAAACTATATATCTTCTAAGATCACTCTATAGCGATGCCTTCCAAAGTCCAGAGAGAAATGATAGTCTATCGTCACGCGTACGAACCTCATCTTTCAATTCCTAGTCACCGTCAATGAGTTTGATTCTTGAGCTGAGCAATCCCACTAATAGGACAACGGGATCGTTCCCCTGAGCAGCACGTCTCCCTCTCCTCACAATGCCTCAAAAGTTGTGTGAGCTAATTCCCTCAGGGCAAATATAGAAAGCAGCTCCCGAATCAAGCAATCCACTCCGAGAGTCGGACCATAGACAAACACGACACAGCTGCGGGCAAGATAACCGGAAGGAATCGAATCTGAAGTGTCAGCCAAAACCTGTAACATTCATCTTCTGAAGCTTTGGCTACAACTTTCCCCTTTGTCTTCCGCGCCATATCTCAACTGTGCAGCTCATTCGTTCCAATGTCTCTCTCTCTTGCAAAGGCACATTTCGATCTACAACACTTTTATGCACCCCTATTCTTATTTTTGAGCGGCTTAACTTTGGCGGTTGCGACTACGGCCACGAACTGCAAGGCCATCACCCGATGCCTTCTCGGGACGGGCGTCAACAATTATTTCGTTCCTCAACTCATAATTCACCAATGCGAGTCACCCCTCCTTGTAGCCTAACGTAGTGTTGCTCCCATCTTATTCATAGTGAGAACAAAAGTACTAAATTATCATCTGGCAACAAACACAATAATAACATCGCCTTGTCTTCATCCTTCCACCAGTGATATTACATTGGCCTATATTCGAAATCTAGTTTGTGAGTGTTACATCTCGCGAATGGAAAACTCCCCTCTTTCATCTTGAATTGCGTCTTAGAAACCTCGTTCTTCAAGTGAAGCCGGTTTTCCAATGCTCTTCGTTAAATATTTTTCATGAGTGCTTTCCCACAATCTCTGCCGACGTTCTGAATTCATCACATCATATGATAAGATCCCTGCGTTAGCCATGACCGAATAACCCCACAAGGGCCTACTGTGCATTTTCTTCCAAACCTATCATCAAATCTCCGCTCGGGGGTTTACTTGAAACTAGAGTCTCCTCTAAATTTGACTAACGGCGTCCATTACTGGACACCCCTATGTAAACTGAAGTTAATCTTGCCGTCGAACTTTGGGAGCATCAATTTTAGTATTATGGATGCCCTCAAATTGGATCGCCTTTGTCAACGTCCGACCCCAATGGTATCTAGTGGCGCACTTGAACTAGCCCTGACTTGTTCAACCATATTGCTAATCTACTCTTCAACCAAGAATCCAATAGTGAATCCTGCGAATCAAAACTCTCAAATTTCCAACCGACCGGAGCTCTAACCTTGTTGGGACCAAACTTCACACCTGGTACAACTTTGGTCAACATATCAGCAGGGTTATCCTTAGTGTGGACCTTCTCCAACGTGACATCACCATCATCTAATACGTCACGTACAAAGTGAAATCTGACATCAATGTGCTTCGTGCGTGCATGGTAGACTTGGTTCTTCGCCAAATAGATA